TGAAAAAAAAACAGTGAAAACGAGGTAAAAAATTTTAAAAGTTTGAATTCGCGTGCTTTTACTCACCGGACGGCCTAGAAAAAACCTGGTCCTTTTTTATTTTGAGAAATTGAAAATTTCTGATTTTTCGACAATTTTTTTGCACATTCAAAACTCAAAATTCTGAAAACTTCACATCAAAAAATTTCCCTTAATTAAACATGTTGCTGATGAAGTTTACCTTTAGTGATATAATCAGATATCAAAGTGAAGGCAGGTTTACATTGAACTATTAGTGTTTCGTTTTTGGTCCAGTGGAAAATTTTTGAGAATTTTCCAAAAAAGTGAAAAAAAAATTCAAAAAAGTGGACAAAAAATGGAAAAAGTGAAATTTTCTCTACTCTAGGGTTATCGTAAAAAATTGGTCCCAACAGGAAAAATGGTCATAATAGTACCAGAAACTGAAATCCAAAATATTTGGGTCGATATCATTTTTTTTTTGAAAAAAACATTTTTCGGGGTTACGGTAGTTTTTCGCACCCAGAGGTGATCGTGGCCTAAGAGCATTATGATCAAAAGTTTCAGGGTAGCTTTTATACCCACCACATACAATATCAGACTCCTAGGACCATTTTGCTTTTTTCCATTGCCAAACAATAACAATTTTTCTAACCGTTGAATGTCCCGCCGATACATATTCATTTTCAGTATATTTTCAAAATCTTTTCTCACCTTTAACTTTTTACAGCATTTTGAAGAGCAGTAGAAAAAATAATAAGAAAAATAGAAGAGAATAATAAAGATTCAGGAAAATAAAGTGTTCTTCCCGAACCCATTCATTAACAGGGTTCATGGGAAGAACACCAGAATATAGAGGCACATACACACGGTGCCAGAAGAAGAAGAATGAATAAAATGGAAAGAAAGAAGAGAGACGGCGGTGTGGGCGTGGCTAACGTTCTGTGTGTCTACGTTCTCTCTATGTTTCGTCTACATAACGACTAGACAGGTCAAGTGTGTCCTCTGTTGAGAAGACACAACAGCAAAAGAAGAGGCAATGATCTGCGTCTTTTTTTCCTCGGTCTCTTCTTTCTCGCCCGTGCAGATAGGGCGCGCTTGCAATACAAACTCGAGCATTTGAGACCCCGCAAATTCCAGGGAAAAAAATCGGGGAAAAAAACCGGGAAAGTGGGCGGAGTCAGGGGCGGAGCCTAAATTGCAATGTCGCCGCACACTTTTTCCTCGATTTTTCAATGAATTAATTTTCGGTTAAAAATTGCATTTAAATTCCGAATTCAGAGTTTTTTGATGCTATAATGGTTTGTCTGTAATATCTAAATCCAATTTAATTCATTTAAAAAACAAAAAATTTATTATATTCAAAAGAAAAGAAACATTTCAATGATGATCTTTTGGTAATGCCATGAATGGAAATAGTTTTTCGGAAAATGACTGGAAATTCGGATGATTATATAGCACTGCTCTAAGGAAATGTTGATTTTTGAACAGAGGCGTTTCTTTAGAGTTTCTGTTGAGGACATTTCGGCACATGTTAGCATCGCGAACAAGAGAGGATGTCCACTCAATTGTTTTCCTAATGGGGTTATTCATGTAGCGAAAATATGTATTGAAATGCATTTCCGCGCCCTCGAAATTCAATGCATGAGCGTCGCGAAATGTATTTCAAAGCATTTCGCGACATAACTGTAAATGCATTGAAATACATCGCGTGGCGGGATATTTTTTCTGGAAAAAGGGATGCGCCTTTAAACTTTGTGCAGGATTGGGAAAATCTTTTTGATATTCATTGTGATGAAATTGTCTCTGCAAAATTTTTTAACACCATACATTCATCTTGACTTGCCTTATATGCTGAAAATACTTTTTCGGAATCGTTATTTGTGAAATTCATTCCATGTTCAACTCTGAAGCGGCAATTCCACAACTCAAAAGGAAATCGTGATGAAGGTTTGAAATAGTTTTTTTGTAGATAATTAAAAAATCCTGAAAATAATTTTCGTTGTTACATCTAATTCTTAAATAAATTTATTGCATCTTCTTTTCAAAATATGAAACCAAGTATAAACCTTGTTTTCTGGAGCAAAACATAAGGTATAAAGTGATAATAGCATTCTGACCAGTGGAGCAGCGCGAGCATCTTCTCGACCAACATCTATGAGAAAATAGTGTAAAATTAAAAAATATATATATGTCTCACATTTAATAAGGTTTCGAAGGAATGAGATTTTCAAATGTCTCCAACAACCTAATACTTTAGAATTCGGCCAGACGAGTTTAGCCGCATCAATCGCACCAATTTCAAAATCTGAATAGAATTTTTGATATGAAATTCTCAGTTTTTTGGGATACCACAATAAATAAACCATGGATTCAGTCCTTCCAGTAGCGCAGTATGAAAAATACGAACGTACATATCTTTTTTCGACGATTGACATAATGCAAACATTAGTGAAATCAAAACACCAGAATCTTCATCCTGTAAATAAAATGTTCCTAAAGTTTCTTGTTTTCAGTTTTACTTTGCTAGATAGACAATATAGCTGCCTATACGAATTTGGCATCAATGTTGAGAGTTTTTATATTGAAAAATTTCTCTGTGCCATCCACGATCCAAGCAATGACGATTTCATCATCGGAAGAAAATGTTCCCGAAGAATCCAACACCCTCCTGACACCTTGGAAGTATTTCAGTGGGAGGGCTGGAGGAAACACTTCTGATGATCTTCTGTCTAACATAGAATCTAACTTCCTGCTCATTGACTCCTGTAAAAAAAACTAATGCTGAGGATCTTTCGCTCGTGATTATATTTGAGGCCAGTAAATATGGGATGTCATATAACTCAGCTTCTCGTGTGGCTAATCTGTACAAATGTTCTTTCGGCGGGTCTGATGTTGCTTTTAGAATGGCTAATTTTCTTAGAATGAGAAGAAGCTGAATTGAAAATTTATTGTTTTTGAGTCTGTTTTGGAGTCTTCTCACAGCGATGTGGTTTCTTCGCGGACCATGATAGCACTTTTTATAAACAGAGACATGTCCACTGTTTCTAGCAATATGAATGGATCCAGAGCAAGTTGATTTTAGATCAATATTGGACGTGCACCTCAAACAACAGTTTTAAAAAGAAGAAGAAGCATATGTAACCTAGCATTGATTTCACCAGATTGCGTTTCTTCAGATGGACGATATAATTGGTTGTTGACCACAATCAACGGTGAACCCTTTTGGGATGTAAGACTAAAAATCAGAACTTTTTTAGAAAACTCGATTTTGCAGAATTTCTCTGAATTTTTAACCAATGCGTACCAAAAAAAGAGCAATTTTCATCCAAAATTTCTGGTTCGACTGTCAGCTTTCGACGAGAACATCCTTCTTTCTTTTTATACTTTTCCACAATTCTCTGAACGTCAGATCGTCTGAAAAAACAGGTATTTTTCACAGGTTCAGTATTTTATTGGCTTTACATATTAGTAAAGAAGAAGCCAGCAATCATATCATCAGAAATTCTATTCGGATGGCCGTCTGGAACAAGTTATATGTTTACAAATTCTTCCATTAAGGATATTACATAAAAAATTTTTTCGTCAGTTTCCTGATACACATGATCCATCGCAAAATTATCTGAATCTTCATCGTCGTCGTCGTCTTCTGAATAATCCGACAATTGAACGCTAGTGTTGTTGTTGCTGCTGACACCTGGTTGACTGAACTTTTAGAACAAAAGATTCCGGAAAATTTGAATACCGGAAGTTGTTGGCTCTGGCTCCGGTCTAGATAAAGTATTTTCAAAGTTTATCAAATTCTCATGGGATCTCATTTTATTAGAATCGAAATCATAAATTGGAGAAGATTGAGGAGTGAGCAGATCAATAAACATAATTTGACCAGTGTTAGCACTGGTGTGAACAGTGTCTCCGTTGACTGCTTTCAAAGCTCGACGCCTTTCGTCAAATGCTGGAAGTAAATATGTTTAACACAATAGACGTACTATATTCTTGCCTTTAAAATGTCTTTTAGACCCATTCGGGTCATTTTCCTCGTTTAATTCCTCTTCATAACACTGTTCCGATTTTGACCAAAATTCAATTTTCTGTTTTTTATCCATTATTATTGATGACATTTCAAAATGTTGTCAAGAACCTGAAATTTTTATTATTTTTACAACTATTCCATATCTCAATCGCTTCATTAATTCAATTAAACCCCTGAAATTGAATGCAATTTTTAACCGAATATTAATTCATTGAAAAATCGAGGAAAAAGTGTGCGGCGACATTGCAATTTAGGCTTCGCCCCTGACTCCGCCCACTTTCCCCGATTTTTTTCCCTGATTTTTTTCCCCAGAATTTGCGGGGTCTCGCGTACCTTCAAACGTAACTCTGAAGACGGCCAAACTCATGGAAAACAATAGGAATTATGCAGGAAACGTTCGAAAATTAGGTAGAAAAACTTTTAAACTGTTTTTTAACAAAAAATACGGAGAATTTTCATGTAGGATATCACGAGAGACTACTGAAGAGTACAGTATCGGATTTCGGGGCGAGGCTTCGTAAATCGAGACGAACGCTGTTCGCGAGATGCTCAGGTAGATTTTCATCAAATTTGACAAGAAAATTCAAATTTTAACTGAAAAAAAAAACAAAAAAAAATTCTGAGAAAAAATTTCTCCTCGCACTACTGTAGTTCTCAATCTGTGCATTCTGTCGTGACGGTGTTTTGCGACCAATTCACCGACGAACTTCGGTCTTTTTTGTAATTTTCCAGGCGCAGAAAAATGCGTGGAAGCGGTGATTTGGGCCTGAGAACCTAGAATATGATTTGAAGTGTAAAAATCTAAATTTCAGTCGCAGCAAATGACCTTTCTCTTTTCGCACGATGTGTTCGTTTTGAGTTGAATGAATTTTCGGAAATTTGATCGAGTAGCTAACTGTTTCGTCTTCAAAAAACCACATTAAAAAAACCAAAAAATTCATTGAAAAATAAAAAAACAAATTAACAAAAATTGAACAAATAGTGCCAAGTTCTGACTTCATATTGAGCATCGAAAATGATTTGAAAGGGAACGTTTGAAGAAGGGGCACATGGAATAATACATAGAAAAGGAAAATTTTGAATTCAACAACAGAAAAAGAAGCAGAGTTATTCATCCAAATTGACCCAAATGTTGGTGATTACGAGCATCAGTCCGTCGAGTTTGCCTTGAACTGTTTTAATGGAATCTGGAAATTTGAAAAAAACCATTTTAGTATTCTAAAAATGCCTCTCAAACCTTTTCTTCGCTTCCTTCAAGCTTCTCAATCTCTTCTTCGAGAACTTTCAGTGTATCAGCCATAAGAAATTCTCCCAAAGGTCGAATCAAAGATCTTGCGAGATGCTTGAATAATAGACACAATTTTATTGAAGTTCCAGTTGGATTTTGAAGTCGTCCACTCTTCACGTTCTTCAGAACGATGCTGAACAATTGGTTGAAGTCTTGAATCGGAATTAACTGAAAAATAAAATTTTTTTATTTCGGAACGAAAATCCAGTCAAACCTGATCATTAGCCTTGAACAAACGTACAGCTCTCAACGCTTTCTCTTGGAAAGAGTCCTCCAAATTAATTGAAAGCGAGCGTCTCAATTTGCTCTGCCAGTTTCCGAAGACTGATTTTTTCAAATACCAGAGGTCGCCTGAATTCAGGTAATTATATTTTTTCGAAGTTTTTTGAATTTGGCGCCAAAATGAGGGTGTTTCAATTGTAGCAATACAAGACGTTTCAGCCTAAGCCTATGAAAAATGTGGAAATTTTTCTGATTTTCGCGAATTTCATTACTTTTTTTGACTGAAATTATTTTTAGAGAATTATGTTTTTTTTTTAATTCTAGGCTTAGTTAGGGGCGAAATTCAAAAAAAAGACATACATTTCCGCTTCTTTGTCCAGAATAATTACTTCTGGAGCTTGCTGAATCTCTTCCACAAAATCTTCGATTTTCACTCGATTTCGGGTATTCTGACCAAAATTCTGTGCTTCATTGTTATCATGAGCTATGGCTTCAGCATTTTGATTTTGAATATTCAAATCATTGTGAACAGTTGGTCCCAATCCTTCTAATTCCTCTGGCTTTCTCATTTTTACTTCATTGGTCTCTGGTGGATTTGCAATTTCTGGTTCTTCCTGTCTCTCGATTTTAGGCCGTTTTGCGTTTCCTTGCCTGAGTTCTGAATGTCGTTTGTTGTGTTGCATTGGGGGTTCAATTCCATTGGGAACCATAAATTCTGGATGTTCACCATTATCCAGATCCGCATAGTCGATTCGACCATTAAACAGCGTTCCTTGGTGGAGGCTTCCATTTATTAGATCCACGCCTTCTTCTGATTTCAAGTTTTGAATGAAATTCTGTGCTGGATTATTACCCTGAATACTGGCTTGAGCATCTGATTTTTGAACATTTAAATCGTGGTTCCCTGCCGGTCTTAAGTCATCGAATTCTACTGGCTTTTGATCTGGCGCTGCTTCCTCTTCTTCGTTTCCCATTTCCACGTCATCTACCTCGGGTGGATTCGGAAAAATTTGTGGAATCGGAGCAAGTTTCGGTTTCCGGACATTTTGAGATCTTCTTGCTGGTTTCACGACCGTTTTCTTTCTATAATCAGTTTTCGTTACGGTAAGAAGAATTGAGAACTTCAAAAGAAAAAATAAGCTTTGCATCACTAAAGGTAAACTTTATCAGCAACACGTTTAATTAAGGGAAATTTTTTAATGTGAAGTTTTCAGAATTTTGAGTTTTGAATGTGCAAAAAAATTGTCGGAAAATCAGAAATTTTCAATTTCTCAAAATATCTATGCTTGTCTGAGAAAAAAAAGGTTAGAGAGTATTTTTTGCAGTCTAAATACGGTAGCGATATCGAAGCGGAGAGCCTAAATAGCACACAAACGGTGGAGACGCAGACACTTTTTCTCTGCGTCTCAACCTTTTTTTTCTCAGACAAGCATAATAAAAATGTTCCATTTTCGTAGTTTGCAGTCTTCTTCTGAAAGTCTATTTCTGAAATTTTGTATTTTTCAAGTTCAAAAATTCGAAAATTTTGGATTTTTTAAAGGTGGTGTACGGTGAAATTTTTTATTGCATCAAAATGTGCAGAAATGCATGTAGATTGCCTTAAAAATATAGAAAAAATTCAAAAAAAATTCCTTCATTGAGAAAAACGCATCGAAAAATACGCTGAAAGCCCTTAGGGACGAGGTTTTTTCTAGGCCGCCTGGTGAGTAAAAGCGCGCGAATTCAAACTTTTAAAATTTTTTCGCTCGTTTTCACTTTTTTTTCGGTTTTTTTTGGAACATTTTTTTAAGACGAAAAATGCTCATTTGGTTCCGATATCTGGTACTGTCCAAACCGTGACCAAATTCGGTAAAAATGAAATATTTTCTCAATGGGAATGATGATTTGATCATGGCAACTAAATTTCGCGTAAAATCAAGCCTCTCCAATCACATTTTTACCAGATGCAGCATTTGCCATGAGGAGTGTCCCGAAATCGAGCCTCTCTGTATGTTGGCAAACTTTCAAGAATAAATATCATTGTCTTCGTGCATTTTTAAAACTTCAAAAAAGCGGCAAGGATCAAAAAACAATTTCTAGTGGTGATTTCCACGCTGGCTTTGAATCTGATACCGAAAAAAGTTCACGCTCGTACTTTATACGAAATACTACTAAAAAATCAAAAAAAAAACAATAACAATTTTTCTACCCGTTGAATGTCCCACCGATACATATTCATTTTCAGTATATTTTCAAAACCTTTTCTCACCTTTAACTTTTTACAGCATTTTGAAGAGCAGTAGAAAAAATAATAAGAAAAATAGAAGAGAATAATAAAGATTCAGAAAAATAAAGTGTTCTTCCCGAACCCATTCATTCACAGGGTTCATAGGAAGAACACCAGAATATAGAGGCCCATACACACGGTGCCAGAAGAAGAAGAATGAATACAATGGAAAGAAAGAAGAGAGACGGCGGTGTGGGCGTGGCTAACGTTCTGTGTGTCTACGTTCTCTCTATGTTTCGTCTACATAACGACTAGACAGGTCAAGTGTGTCCTCTGTTGAGAGACACAACAACAAAAGAAGAGGCAATGATCTGCGTCTACATGGTTTCACTGTACTCTGGCATTTTGCCATCTTTTGTCGGTTAGTGGCTGAGCGAACATGCTTAGTGGGGAGGAGAAGGAGACATCCAACAAAAGGCTACAGTGACATGGTATAATATTCAAATGAAAGGGATAGGGAAGAAAGCGGATCGACAGAAAAAAATCTTCATTTTTTAAAAAAGAAGTTAGTGTTACAAGTTTACAATAAAAGGCTTAAAAATAATACTGAAGTCGTGTGATGCTTTTATGCCTCGTAGATATAATCAAAAGATTAAAAAAGAAAAACAATTTTGAGAGTATATTGATTCGACCTTAATGTTTTTTGTCTGCGTTTCTATAATTTCACTGTACTCAGTAATTTCCAAAAGAAGCAGTATATTTAAAAGATCAAAGATCCATTTGAAATGGATCTTATCGATCGGAAAATTTTCAACATTTTTTTCTAGCTGAAACACCTGAAGCTGAAATTAATGGAAATTCTAAACTGATTGTCTTTTGTACTTCTTTGATGATTAAGAGTACCCGCTGGCCATTATATTGATAAAAATTGATTTTGCATTAGTTTTTTTTTTCGCAAGGAAAAAACGAATGACTAAAATGGGAAGAACGGAGATAGACGGCGGTGTGGGCGTGGTTAACGTTCTGTCTGCCTTCGTTCTCACTACAGTTGACACCTGTTTTCCCAGAGGACCATGAGATACAAGGCCCACTTATATCAACATTTTTAGCACACTTATTATCTTGAACAGTCCACTTTCGTTAGTATGACCTCTTCTGACCGCAATAAAAGATAATTAAATTATACTTTGATCTCAAACGAGTACCCACTAAAGGACAATAGGTCATCAAGACACCTGTCGCATGATAGTTCTAACGAGAATAAACAAAAATAAAAGTGGGAGGGTGAAAATCTAAACTTATCCAGATTCGGGTAGGGGAGAAAGGGAATCGACGGGAAAATTAGGAAAATATTTATACGTTTGTGTTAATTTTAAAAAAAACTTTTAGAAAGACATTGAAGTCCTGTGATTTTATCGCCTCTTAAAAGTATTGCAATACCAATTTTTATCAAAATAATGGCCACAGCGGGTTCTCTAAATCAACAAAGTACCGCCTGCTGCCACCGTTCCGCATTTCTGTCAATGGAACTGTTTTTGAATAAGACTAATAATTTTTTTTTTGATGATAGGTAATTTTTCTTCCGGAATGCTTTTTTTGTTTGCATTTTTGGAGTATTTATTCTTAATTTTTTGTATATTTTTCTTGATTTTTTGTCTATTTTTTTATTTTTTGTCTATTTTTCCTGATTTTTTGTCTATTTTCCCTGATTTTGTGGCTATTTTTTCTGATTTTTTTTATTCCAGATTTCAGTCCCAAATTGAAGCTGTCCATTTTTAGAAACCAAAATTTTCTCCCCTCGGCTCATTCCCATTTTTAAGGCTTGTACTGGTCGTTAGAAATTCATTATTTTTAGGGTTAGAACTTGACCCTATGTAATCGACTGCAAAAAATCGAATGGAATTATCAGTTTTTCAATAATTACATTACTTTCATTCGTAAACTTCAAAAAATAGGAACCGGATTGACAAAGTTGGCTAAAAGTATTAGATGGAAGGGGGATGCCCCCAGATTTTTTGATGGATTCTGGCAGATTATGTATTTGGGGATTGAGTTCTAAAAAAAAATAAAAGTTCTATGGTCGTTGTAAAATACAATTTTCAGCCAAAGTACCAGCCAACATACATGAAAAATTTTAGCGATAACCTCATACACCAGATATACCCGAAGACATTTCTGGTCGCAAAATAATTTTAAATCAATGTTGAAATGAGTTTTTAAATGATGTACGAAAGGATGCTATTTGATGCCGTTTTTTCTTAGTTTTTCTAGACATGCCCTTTACGCATAATGCCCCTCACGACCACCTGAGAAAATCAATTACATTCAGTAATCGCACAAACAAGTCATCAAACGAGGATCTGGTCACAAAAGGGCGGAACAGAGTACCTACTGTGTCATCTGTCTTCTTCGCAGACGTTCTCCTTCTTTGCTATATTGATTGTATTTCTCGATTCCGATAATATTCTATTTTCCATGGTCATCAACTTTTCTCATCCCCTCTCTTCCTGTTCTTTCACAGTTTACTTTGTATTTTCAGAACTACAAAAAGAATGAAACTACCCAAATATCCGTGTTTGGTTCAAAAAGAAATACTCGACAATATGGGATATTCCGAACTTTTTCGCCTTTCTTTCGCTTCGAAAAACATGAAAAAAGCCATCAAATCGTCCCAAATCAGCAGATTCAAAAAGATCAGTTCTATTGAGTACCACTGTCATGAAAGAAATCTACCATATATTTATATTCGCTGCAACAATGAATGGGTCAAAATCATGAATTTAGTGGAGCATAAGAGGTTTATCAGGAAAGGTTTTAGTTTGAATATTTCTGGAAAGAAGATAAAGTTCCGGTGAGTTACAATTGTGCATTGAATGATATAACAATTTTTATTTCAGATTATCCTACAACTCTCTTGTAGCATCATTTCCCCGGGGTGAAAGAGAATGCGTCATCAAGGCTATCCATGATTATTTGATTGATTTTTTCGGAAGTTCAATTGAGTATCATTGGAAATCAGAAGGTTTTGAAGCTCATTTTATTTCACAACCCCAAAACTTGTCATTGTCCGCTGCGGTGAGGTTAAACCTGAACTTCGAGGATATGAAACTCCTTGACCTTTTTTTCTCCACGTCTCCTGTTTTAAAATCGGTTAATATGTTCACAAGCATTGGTAACAAACCATTCCACACGGAATCTAAAATCTATCAAGCAGAATCTATTGAAATCGATCAATTCTTCAACACTGTCCCAAACGTTTTGAGTCGTTTTCAAGGAAGACAGGCATTTTTAGAAACTTTGAGATACCGAATCTCGGATTTGATCGGGTTTGTGAATTTATGGAAATCAGGACAAGCATTTCAAAACCTTGAATACTTACAAATGAGAATCGGTTGTCATGAAATCCCCCAGGACGAAATTTTTTCGGCGATTAAGGCTAAATTCATTGCTGGAACTAAGAAGCCACTAACGCACACACTTCCCAAAGTGTAAGTTATTTTTAAATGATTTAAAATAGTTCTATATCATTTTTCAGGCACATTGGGTATGATAAAAAACCAAAAACGGATCCAATCACTAGCCACACATACGTCGTTCGAGATTCAGACAATCGTGTAGCATCAATTCTGATTCAAGCGAAGACGTTCAGTTTTGGAGTATGGGATATATATATATATTCCATTAAATTTTTCTTGACCGAATAGCAACCTATATTAGTACTGCTTTGCAGAGATTTTTTAGAGATTTTATTTATCCCTTTTCGAGTTAATGTACTTCATTAAAATTTTTATTCCAGACTTCAGTACCAAATTGAAACTGTCCATTTTTAGAAATACTATTTCTTCTTAAACTCCAAAGAATCTCAATGTATGATTGACACCTGTTTTTCCACAGGATCATGAGATACGAGGCCCACTAATATCAACATTTTTAGCACATATATTAACTTGAATAGTCCACTTTCGTTAGTATGACCTCTTCTGACCGCAATAAAAGATAATTAAATTATACTTTGATCTCGAACGAGTACCCACTAAAGGACAATAGGTCATCAAGACACCTGTCGCATGATAGTTCTAACGAGAAAGAACAGAAATAAAATAAGGGGGGGGGGGGTGAAAATCTAAACTTATCCAGAATCGGGTAGAGGGAAAAGGGGATCGACGGGAAAATTGGAAAATATTTATGTTTGTTTTAATTAAAAGAAAAACTTTTCGAAAAACATTGAAGTCCTGTGATTTTTATCGCCTCTTAAAAGTAATGCAAAATCAATTTTTATCAATATAATGGCCAGCGGGTACTCTTAATCATCAAAGAAGTACAAAAGACAATCAGTTTAGAATTTCCATTAATTTCAGCTTCAGGTGTTTCAGCTAGAAAAAAAATGTTGAAAATTTTCCGATCTATAAAATCCATTTCAAATGGATCTTTTAAATATACTGCTTCTTTTGGAAATTACTGAGTACAGTGAAATTATAGAAACGCAGACAAAAAACATTAAGGTCGAATCAATATACTCTCAAAATTGTTTTTCTTTTTTAATCTTTTGATTATATCTACGAGGCATAAAAGCATCACACGACTTCAGTATTATTTTTAAGCCTTTTATTGTAAACTTGTAACACTAACTTCTTTTTTAAAAAATGAAGATTTTTTTTCTGTCGATCCGCTTTCTTCCCTATCCCTTTCATTTGAATATTATACCATGTCATTGTAGCTTTTTGTTGGATGTCTCCTTCTCCTCCCCACTAAGCATGTTCGCTCAGCCACTAACCGACAAAAGATGGCAAAATGCCAGAGTACAGTGAAACCATGTAGACGCAGATCATTGCCTCTTCTTTTGTTGTTGTGTCTTCTCAACAGAGGACACACTTGACCTGTCTAGTCGTTATATAGACGAAACATAGAGAGAACGTAGACACACAGAACGTTAGCCACGCCCACACCGCCGTCTCTCTTCTTTCTTTCCATTGTATTCATTCTTCTTCTTCTGGCACCGTGTGTATGGGCCTCTATATTCTGGTGTTCTTCCTATGAACCCTGTGAATGAATGGGTTCGGGAAGAACACTTTATTTTCCTGAAACTTTATTATTCTCTTCTATTTTTCTTATTATTTTTTCTACTGCTCTTCAAAATGCTGTAAAAAGTTAAAGGTGAGAAAAGATTTTGAAAATATACTGAAAATGAATATGTATCGGCGGGACATTCAACGGTTAGAAAAATTGTTATTGTTTGGCAATGGAAAAAAGCAAAATGGTCCTAGGAGTCTGATATTGTATGTGGTGGGTATAAAAGCTACCCTGAAACTTTTTATCATAATGCTCTTAGGCCACGATCACCTCTGGGCGCGAAAAACTACCGTAACCCCGAAAAATGTTTTTTTCAAAAAAAAAATGATATCGACCCAAATATTTTGAATTTCAGTTTCTGGTACTATTATGACCATTTTTCCTGTTGGGACCAATTTTTTACGATAACCCTAGAGTAGAGAAAATTTCACTTTTTCCATTTTTTGTTCACTTTTTTGAATTTTTTTTCACTTTTTTGGAAAATTCTCAAAAATTTTCCACTGGACCAAAAACGAAACACTAATAGTTCAATGTAAACCTGCTTTCACTTTGATATCTGATTATGAAAAAAATCACTGAAAATGTGTCGTCGTGAAAAATTTTAACATAAGTGTAAAAAAGTTAACGTTAGATTCAAAACCAACGTAAACTTTACATTCGAAAGTTTTTGTTTAAATGCATATCCTTAGCACAAGGCGAGTTGTAGTCCAGAAGGAAGAATGAGGTTTCACAATGTGGGGAAGTACAAAGCAACTAAAATTCGCCCAAAATCTACCATCTCCAATTTTGATCAAATTTTCACAAAATGTAGTATTTGGTAGTATTCTGGCAAAGTTTCAAAATTTGTTCTCATTGTCTTCGTGCAGTTCTGGAGCTCGTGTTTTCAGTGAAAATGGACTTGGACAAAATTTTCGTCGAGGTACTTCAAAAAACACTCGAAGACGATGAGAACGATTCTTGAAACTTTGCCGCAATACTACCTATCACAAATACTATATTTGGTACAAATTTGATCTTGTTTTTGACCTTGATTTTGATTATTTCGACCTTGAATTTGATATTTTACCCCATATGGTAAAACCTCATTTTTTCGCACTTATTGAACTAAAGGAGCTCACCTTGTGCTTTGTATATGCAAACTCAAACAAACTTACAAAACTTTATTTTTGGTGTGATTGAGTGATTGATTTTCAGTATTGGTCCCAGTTGCGGAGCTCAACAAAGCGCTTGATGAGATTGGATATCTTCGCAACGAACTTGGAGCCTATGAACGTGAGTTGTTTAGCCGCCAGTAACTTTCTTAACATAACATTTTTTTAGGAGAGTTCTGGCGCACTCAAGGTGAAGTCAATGGACTAACCACTGCACGCGGCTTTCACAATCAACTGAGTGAGTTTCGGAAGTCATTTATAAAGCCAAATAGTCTGATTACAGCCAAAGACGATTTTCTCAACTTCTAGGACTTTTCAGTACATGAAATTTGTGGTATTTTAATGTATTTTATTAAAACTTGTATGAAATTTCATATTTCAAACATTTTCTCTCAAAAAATTATCATATTCTTTTCCGCCTTTCTATTTACTTTTTTCCCTGAACAAAATTTTTCTAGTGAAACACAATATACAAATTTCATGTTTTGAAACGTCCTGATAGTTAAGAGAATCGTCTTTCAAAATCACTGCAACCGCGATTTTTGATACTGAAAATTTCTGGAAATTGACTAAAAACTGAAAATTAATTAATATATTATGGGATTCCCAGAAATGATTATAAAGGTCTTAATGCTATCTTGAACCAAAAAATTATCTATTTCTTAATATGTATATTTTTTAAATTTGAATCTCTAAAATCAAATAATTCAGAAGATAGAAAATGTCTGAGTTTTCTTTCATTCCTAATTTTTACACGATTAATATTGAAAAAAATTATAATGGCGAGTACCGTCAACCCCTTCAATAGAAGAGCCCCTTAACTTTTGACGCTGATCTCAATTATCTCAATTCCAGTCAGAGATATAAACACGTGGCTTACTAATAAATTATTCATCATAATATGAGAAGTGTTTTGTCAGTTGACAACTCTTTCAAATTTTTGATAGGAACAGAGAAAATTTTCCTCATAGTCAGATGGCCTTTCTAGAACAGGTTTTACGGTAAAGCATATCTATTCCGAACCAATATTTTACAATACTACAAAACTTTTAATATGCTACAAGACGAACCCAAAAACTTGATAATCTGATTCATGTTCTTCCTTTTTAGGGACTCGATCCAAGCATAATATGATGCAAGCCCTCAGAGCTCAGGCTCTGTATGCTCATCATGGAGCACAGGCCGGCGGGAGGGGAACGATCCGTGAACAAGCTCTCAATTTTCGAGGGGTTGAACAAGATCAGAGACGACGAGTACCCATCCGTCAAGATGTTTCTGAGCGGTATGTAGATTTTTTGCTCCCAACCAAAGGATATAATTCCAGAAAAAAATCAAGCCGCTTTCGATGAACAGAGGGCTAAACTGGCGAGTAGGAGCACCAAAATAAATCTCCGCTTTTGTTGATTCACTTTTTCCCTAATAAATCTGTTTTTGTTAAGTACAAAAATGTTTAGAAGTTGCATGGAATAAAAAGCGTATACTTTTTCTTTTTCAGAAGAATTAAGATCACATTTACGCATCGAACCTAGAAGAAAGGAAAATAATGATGCAATGACACATATCGACCAAAGAATGGCATTTATCTTTGCTCAAACTTATCCGATTCGATTGAAAACTTTTGTAGGAGATATTGGAAGTTTTAGTAGGAATTAGTACTGGGAAATCAGAAAGCTTGCAAATTTGAAAAATAGAAGCCCCTAAGATACAGTACCGGTCGAAAAGATAAACAAAATCATATTTTTCAGTTTATTTTTGGTCATTATGGCCATTTTCAGGAGTCTGGATCTCGGATGACAAGTTTCCGATTCATTTTTTATCCTTATTTAACGGTTCTACTGCGTAAAGGAGGACTCCGACAAAGATTTGTTGTATCAAAATCTTTGAGAAATTTTGTATTTTCCTAATAGTATTGAAGAAAACTGCGAAAAAATCAGCATCCCTAAAAACCCCAACGTAAATACAGGGTGGGCCAAAAGTATGGTAACACATTCAAAGTGCTGTAACTTCTCCAAAAAAACTCGAACACACTTGAAATTTTGACAATAGCTTCCTGAATACTTCCTAAGAATGAAATTATAATAGTTGTTCGGTGCAGTTGCCTTTGATCGTCATAAAATCCATGAGTCTCTTAGGGAACACATCTACTATGGCACGGGGGTGTTTTGGGGATAACATGGCTCGTTCTAGGTCCAAAACATTTTCCAATGACTTCAAATTGGGTTTTGGACATGTTCGGACTCTTGACTGAGAAATTTCATATACGGAATAGTCCAGCAGATTCATGTCTGGCGACGTGGCTGACCATTTGCAAGTCGTACTGAATCTTGAAAAGTTGGCCTTGCAAAGTTGGCCGCACCTGGTTGAACGATTTTCGCCTAGTGAGCGGAAGCAGAATCATGTTGAACAGTCCAAACATAATTTTTAAAATGTGATTTGATCTACGGAAGCACATGCCTCCAAAAAATTCCCTCCTATCAGTACTTTTTGTTGATTTCCACCCCAAAATCTACATAAATCAGAAATCGGAGGTTGTTGCACCAAAAACGACATCGTTCTGAGGATAGAAAACTCTGTTGGTCATCCAAACGTGATTATTAGCTAGCTCAGATCTCGGGGCAAAAACTTGATAGTTTTTTGATAAGGATTCGACTTCCACCGTGAAGAGTTTCTGGTCACCAAATATCCTATTCATGTGTTCATTTTGGTGCGTGCCAGCAAATGGAGATTTGCACTTTTGGATGCGTACCAGATTCTTGTTTCCCGGCAGAATTCCAGTATTTTTAACACGATACAGGGTCAATCTGTGCTCACTTTTTACGATTAATCTGACTGATTTTCTGCTCAATCACAGCTCCAGAGTCATTGTTTTCATGATTTTCTGCGATTTCGACGAACTCGTTTTCTGACGGCCTTGATTCTCTCCTGAGTAACCAAAGATCAAGTTTTTACGTTTATCAGAATGTTCTTGACCGTACTCAACTAACCAAACCATTCGATGGTTATCCACAAGGTTGTTCGTGAGAAACGGAGAGCTTTTCCGATAATCTTTAATAATTTCCGATAGCCACCTCTCTCTTTGCAACCTCTACGAGGGTGCCTAGGAGTATAGAACTAGTCACCATTCGTGTAAAAGTTAACCTAACGACTTGAAAATTTGTATATCAACTAATTGAGACATGCTGAAAATTAAAAACATAAAATCGTAACCCCAAAACCGCTTCAGCGCCAACCAGCTCGCACGAAACTTGTGTTACCATACTTTTGGCCCACCCTGTATACATAGATTAGGAGAGGAAGCACGGAAAATCGAGACAGTGAGAGGAAAGCGGGAAACGTGTGGTAGTGGAGAAAAAATAACGCATGTGTGTATCAAGTCGGGCCTAAACCGCCGACTGTCCTCCGCGCCGTTCTGCCGTTCTTCTGTCCAGCCGTCTTGTGCCGACCTTTCGCTTTTTTGTCTAACTGTTTGTCGCCAACTTCTTGCTTTTTCGTCTTACCGTCTGCCGCCAACGTTTTGCTTTTCTGTCAATGGAACTATTTTCAAATAAGGTTAATAATTTTTTTTTGATAGTAGTTACTTTTTCTTCGCGAATTCTTTTTTATTAATTTTTTGTTAATTATTAATTTTTTGTAAATTTTTTGCACTTTTTTTATTAATTATTAATTTTTTGTACATTTTCCCTAATTTTTTGTCTATTTCTCTTGATATTTTGTCCTTTCTCCCTGATTTGTTGTCTATTTTTCCTGATTTTTCTGTACATTTTTCTTGATTTTTTCTTAGATTTTTTGTGTGTTTCCGAAATGAACAGATCTGAAATATTTGATCATGAAATGATTATTCGAGGAACAAATTTTTCAAAAAAGGCTTTGTCAAATATCGCAAACCAGTAAGCTGGTGCGCTTTCGGCGCGATTCAATCTATTTTTTTTTGAATTTTCGTCGCTTCGTTTCTCACTTTTTCTAGAAGGGTCACGTAAATATATATATATATAAATATATATTTTTTTTTAAATTTTTTCAAACGTTGACAGACGGACATTAGGACGGACAGACGCCCCTAGCGTTTTATTAATAAGGAAAATTGCCTATAGCTTCCAATCTTCCCCAGTTTTGGTGGAAATGTGTATTCTCACCTGGTTTCACACAAAACTTTGAAAAAGATCTTTGTAGAAGCTGTGAATCACGCCAACAAATTAATTTTATGTCAGAAAAATGCGGAAGGAGCTTGACGATCAATAGAAGATGGTTCAGAAGAAAAACGACGGTCTTTCAGAATTTTGTTAGTATTGATTTATAATTTTTCACAGTAAGCGCAGACAAAATGGTCGAAAGTGATGATTTTGTCGAAGGGTTCTGACAAAGCTAAAATCGAAAATTTCAAAGGGAGCGACTCAAAACTAAATGAGAAGCTGATGTCCTTACAGGAGAAATACAGAAAATTCAAAAAAAATGACTGATCAATCAAAGAAGAAGCTGCTCAATCTTGAGGAGCTTCTTCTGGGAACGTGAAGCTCTGAAAAGATGTGTCATTGAAATTGTTGGCCCATACTCCCAGGGGGCATCGAAATAGGGGGCATCGTACTCAAAGCGGGCATACACTCATAGGGGTCACTAACTCATAGGGGCATCCTGAAGTTGTCTCTTAGGGGCATAAAAAATTCGTTGTAACTTTCTTCTAAGTGATCGGAACTTTCAGAAACTTTCCACGCAGATTACTCTATTGCTAAAATTTAAGAATCACTTTGATTTTTAGAATTTTCATTTTTAGCTTTCCCGCTAGGATCAGAAGAGTGGTTGATTACACAATGCTTGAGGCACAAAGCTTTTTTCAAGTTTAGTCTCGTCAATCTTTCTTACTGGTCATGGCGAGACTTTGAAACACTGATTTTTAAAAACTATGAGTCCTGTTTACAATGTTCATAAAACATGATACTGTATGGTTCGATAATCGATGAAACAGGATGCGTTCAAACTTACATAGGTAGTTTGAAAAATCTGTTGTTTTGACAAAAAACTTTTCGAAGCGGCAGGAATTCAAGAGGAATTTTCCTAAAATTAGGAAAATTGTATTTTACGATAGGGTAAAAAGAGCTGGTCAGAATGATACAATGTTTTGCTTATATGTCTCATTCACAAAAGAAAAAATAAAGTTTTTCGAACTTTTGAACGGTCAGCGGAAAACCATGACTGATGAGTAGGTACTGATCGGAGTTGACGAAGTACCATGTTTTTCGAAAACAACAGTTTATTTTCATTATTAAAACATAATGTGAACGCTCCTACTAATCTCTGTTCGGCCACAAGCCATGCTGGAGAAAAGCAAGAGGAAGTTGCGTGCCAACATTACCTTGAAAAATGACTTTATTCGTTTGAAACCTATGATGGTTAAGCAAATTTTGTAAAATCTGCGTTGTGAAATAGAGCATCAAATGTGAATTCGAATGATATATGGGTTCATCAAGCTAGTCACTTAACCAGAGCGATATTGAAGCGAAAACATAATTTTCATCACGTTTGAGAAACCGATTGCTGCTCCGTGCAATAAAATTCTACACGAGAGTTGTTTTGTTTTTCAAGAACTACAGTTTAAAAATTGTGGAACTGGTACCGAGAATATCCTCACAAGTTGTCTCTCGTCGCTCGGTGATAAGTTGCCATTGCGCAAAATGGTGTATTGGCACAGGTGAAAGTTCCGTTGTAGAGGATGATGACTTTTTCTGTACTGGTTTCGTTTTTGAGAGCTTCAATTGAGTAGTCCTCGTTGGCGACGGCTAGTGAAACTGTCATGACTAATAAAAGTAGGATTGGCTTTATTTTAAAAATCTGAAACAATGAGACACTCATTTTAAATAAGCGTTTGAATTGAGAATTCAAAAATTCACAATAATTGATTTCACTTCATATTTTTTGAAGCATCGAGTAGGAACGATTTGAGTGAAAATAATATAAATGTTATGACCTAAATGCTGTAAAAAAATAGGATATGTTGATGTGAGGCCAGACATTACACAATCGAAAAAGAAATGAGCGGGGTTTTTTTCGCGAGCGCTCCCAGTGTGTATTCCGAAGTGCCTGGTAGTACCACAAACTATATGGTGCCAGGAACTACGTTTTGACAAAGTGAAATTTGATTATGAGCAGAACACTTTTCTGTCGCTTTTCACGTATTTTACATACGTATTCAGTAAATAAATAAATAAAATATTTAGCATCGTTACCGTATACCGGTCTTTAATGAAATGAGATGTTAGCTTTCCCCTCATATACAATAAGGTGGTTTGATATTCTTTATCTGAAAACTGATGCTTGAATTCATGCGTCTACCGTATGCTGAGTGTTTAATGATGAATCAGTTTATCCTTTTTTTATTTCTTTTCATTTCAAAAGAATACTTTGATAAGAGAAAAATATAACAAATGGCTGCCTCGAAGGGCAATGTGGTGTGAATGGAGAGAAGAATTATACTAAACCCCCCAAAATCGGAGTTCTCGAAAGTTTGCAGAAACCGTCTCTTGAAAATTTCAAAATTCTAAACAGTTTGATCCCAATGCTTGCATCACATTCCAAGAAAAAAGTTTTGAACTTTTTAAACCATCGAAGTCTTTAGCAGAACTCACTTTTTTTAAATATTAACTTTTACAACATTTTATTATAAACTTTAAAATTATAGGAAACAAACTCTAATAAAATCAAACCCTTTTTTAATTGTTTAAACAAATCTGACGATTCTGAAGTAAATGAAGAAACCAAGAACAAAGCCTACAAAGAAAACAAAAAACGTCTTGAGAAAAAATACATAAATCATGATGACTTTCTCCAGTTTTAAAGCACATGCTGCTGGGCTGATAGAGACTGAAGTTCTGAAATTTATTCTGATAGAAAAAACTATAAGAGTATCAGAAAAGTCCTTTTTTATGTATATCCTCTACACACTTCAAAACCAACTCACTTTTCTTTTCCTTGAAGCATCAATACGTCTGCACAAAATAGTTTTTCTAATTGACATGAGAGAGTGCTTGGAAATTGCACGAACTTTCGTTCAGACGAGTTTTCCTTTTGGACACACGTTCTGAGTGGTCTTGATGCAAGCATAGGGAGAATGATGACAAAAAATAGCAAATGGAGTCTCATTTTCTCGAATAAAAAAGTTTTTCAAATGCCGAAGTGATATTTTTCTCCTGATGTAATAATGGCTGATTAGCTGAAGACTGAGGTTGAGAGAGATAGGGTCAGCTAGTGTAACATTTGATGAAACAGCAATTTGATTAATAGAGTGGCACGAATTACAATTTTTGAATCAATCTTTCACAATGCTCCAGAATAAGAAGTACGCCTTTAATGAGAGTGTTACTAAATTAGAAATTTTACAGTATTTTAAAAGGAGAAATTCGGGAACTTTCTTGCGCACCGTTCAATATATAAGACAATTTAAAATATATTCAAAATATTCAAATTCAAAATAATATATACAAAAAACAAAAAAATCCACATTTCTTTTAAAATTAAAATGGGTATTTCTTTGCTAGAAAATTAGCGTATTCTCTCATACTTCATCACATTTTCAAACAATACAAATTTCAGGTCGTTGCTCGGGAATAAAAACTGTGACGGCGGATCGTAACTTCTCAAAAAGCGTGTAAACGTCGTCAGTTGCAAATTTCGTGATGGTATTACAAGCTCCTTGCCATCCAAAATATGTGGCTGACGATGTATCAAGTTGATTATCAAAAATGCTGAATGGTGAGTTTTTCTCGATTTTTGAATTTTTGTATTTAACGTTCCCTTCGTTTAATGTGTGCGCGCCAACGTCGTCGACAACACTGTTAGGGCAGTTCAGAATGACAGTGTCAGAAAATATCCACATTTTTTTTAGTTAGGAATGAGAACAACTTGAAGGCTTTAGTCAGTGCTTCATTCAAATTTAAAAAGACGAACGAATACTGTTGAAAGAAAAAGACAAATTATATCAGAACAAAGTCATAGTATTTAAAATTAGAAAACTGAACATTAATAATCAAAGATTAAACCAAATTCGGGCATATTTCGGCGTCGTTCAATCCAGTCGTCTGTGTGCAGTATAGGCGACCGAGACTCCATCTTTCTTCTAGGGGTGAGACTTCTCTTCTTGTGTCCTTCACAACTGTATTTTGAATAGCAGAGGAATGGAATAACTACAAACAGAATTAGCAAAATGGTGATGAGGGTAGCGAAAGCCAGGAGCATGAGTACATCTGAAATCATCTAAAATTGGAAGCAATTGGAATAATGTATTTCAGAAGGTGTTTTGTTCAAAAAATTCATTGCAAAAGAAAACATGCTCAGAGTCTTGTTTTTCTCAAAATCCTTGCTTGAAGCAAATTTTTGAAAACATTACTGGAAAATATACATGCTGAATATTTTTCAGTCCTCGAATTTAGAAATCTTACATCATGAAAATGTTTCATTGCTCTCGAAGTGGTGACCGCATGGGTTTTCTCCATGGTTTCTGCGGAAATCTCGGTAACATTAAGAACATCATCAGCAAAGTCCGACGTGGAGTTTCCGAGTTCAATTGATGTCCCCATTGTGGTAAACAGAAGAGACGAAATTGCGAGAAGAAAGAAACAGCGGGTCATACTCTGAAAATTGAGTAGTATGAGTTCTTCAAATCTTTGGTTAACAGAAACGATGAATAATCGATTGATAATTTTCCTTTTGACAGCTTATTGGTTTACTACCTGAATTTTAAATCAACCTTTTTAGCTTTTGATTTCCAAACCTGGAACTCCAGTTTCTAGAACACAAAAAATCGAAAAGACATAAATCGAGAGTTTCGGAAAAAGATGGGAGGGATGGAAGATGAAAGAAAGGCAAAAAAGAGAAAAAAGAATGAAAAATTTTGGTTTTTATGTGTTCGGGCGAGAGTACAAGACACAGAGAAACAGTCCAGCGAAAATAGTATGGGGTAGAACAAACTATGGGAAAAACTGTAAATTTATGCAAGAACATATCAAAAGATTTGTGGGAACCAAGAATATTTCGTGTTTGAATGTTTTTTGAACTGTTGATATAGATGTGGACACTACAATGTATCTGGCAAAGCATTGCAAATCAGCTCAAAAATTACAGGTTTTATAGATTAGGTTTCTGGAAATGAGTGCTACACTCTGGAAATGAGTGCTACATGTTTTTCAGGATTGAACTGTTAATTTTTTCATTTTATTCACTCTTTTCATATGTATTCTTGAGCCCATAATAAACGTTATTTTTTCTTGAAGAATTGAGAAATAAAATTGTGTTTTCCAGCCACCAAAACAGAGCAGAGAAGATGTCTGATGATAAAATTCATCAGACACCTTGACCACACATTCTGGTGAATTTCAAACATTGAGCCTTATATAAGTACAAAATCCAATCAGAAGTGATTGACGTGTAGAGCAGCTTGAATCGAACGCGTCGACATCATCGGATCTTCAGCTGGTGATTGTACATATCCAGAAGCCGATACTGAAAGCAAACTAAACCCAGAACACTCAGCTTGCTTTAAGGGACAAGAAAAATTAAATGACAAAGACTCACCGCAAAGTAGAACCCTGAGGAGACAACAGAAACAGATTTGAATCAAAATCACTTGCTTCATGAAGCCACGGATTTTTTGGTTCTTATTTCCTGTTGACACTGCATTCGAAGGTATTCTAACAAAAACCAAACCGTCTCATTGCAATGGTAAGTTCAACAGATATCTCGAATACTCCAGGTACGGGAAGAAGCAGAAAATGATTTTTCCATTTTGGCGGGATCTGTTTTTCTTGGATCTTGAACCCGGTGTCAAAATGAACGGACGGCTTTTACATCGCAGCTTCTTCCCATTCTCCTGTATTTTGAAATAATTCGGCCAGTGTATCACTTTTTCCACATATTCCCACATATAGAAAACCAATAAAACGTTTCCGATCGTCCATGAGGTCTTCTAAAAACATTACTGGTCATGGAAATTTAACTAAAGCACAACTAAACTAGGCTGTAATTTAGCTAAAAAGAAACAATGTTTATTTATCCATCATAATTTTTTTGTTTTTTATGTCCTACAGGATGCACGCAACGCACTCGAGAGCTCTACCTCATTCAACACAAAATTAGTTTTTCAATCGTAGCATAATATTTTTCATAGATAGATTAATTCAATCATCAAATAAAAATTTACTTTCAGGATGTGACACTGCTTCTCGTCATATATTATTCAGCTCTTGCTTCAAATGCTCCACCGACATGGTTTTCCTCCTGATTGTTGAATCAACAATTGCGATTATCATATCACTTTAGCTCATAAGCTGTCCTGAAAACTTTTTTCACGAATTGACAAGTTCAACGCGACAAAGTCGTAATTTTCTAGAAATTCTACTGACTTATTGGCACATTTCTGATATTGTTTTTGCCAACAACTGATCATGAGACTTGTCTCAGCTCTGTAAAAATCGAAAAACTCACTTGATATCGTTCCACGAAGATGCGAACTTGTTGGTTTTTCACAAAAACTTTATAAAGTTTTTATTTCCTGCTGAATGAGCATGAAGAAATATGAACGATGTGTCTTGATTTGTCCGTATTGTTGCTTGTATGGGATATCATTTGGAATCTGATTATCATGTATTTTAATGTTTTTTTTTCCTTTTTTTCCACGATTCTTGCAATCGTAAATAAATAAATAAATAAATAAATATCAATCGCATTGTCGTCGGGATTTTTTCATATATCCAAATCCGGTCGCCAAGGCAAGCTGTCGCATTGAACGGCAAAATCAGCGCAAAGTCGATCGAATTTGGTGAGATCTGTCTCTTGATCCAGAACTAGGTGTCAACTTGAAGAGAGTAATTTTCCATTAAATCTTCTTGCCATTTGTTCTGTACTTCGAGTTTATCTAGCTGAAAAAACGATTTTCCATGCATCCGCACATACAGATGACCAAGAAACCGTTTTCGGTTGTCCATGTGGTGTTCTGTAAAAAGTACTGGTCAATCGCTTAAAATTGAGTCAAATCTCAACTGAATTGATCTGAAATTTTGAGTGAAATGTTGTTTTTTACGGAAAACTGATATTTTTAATGTGAGTTTTCTCATTTGAAAGAAAAATCACTATTGGAAACAATTCATTCTTTAGTTTAAAAAAACTCACAGTTAAAAACGGTAAAAGCTCCTTGTAGTAAGTTTTTTACTTGCCAAAATCCGTTGGTGATGGGTTATCGGGCACACGATCTGGTAAAGAACACAATACAAAGTGCCCCTCATCTTGCTGACGGGAGGATGCCAGCCGCACGCGGCACGCAACGCATCAAACGACACTCGTTCAATCGATGATTAAAATTGTTTCAGCGGATTTTCTCATTTCGAAAAAGAATTTTTGTAAGAAAATGCATCAGAAGGGTTCAGAGAATTGTCAATTTTGCTTTTGAAGACAAGTTATCAACTACGGTCCTATATCAGCGTAAGTTTTTGGTCAGTTTTTTTTTGTATTTTCAGAAAATCGTCACAAATCGGGTTCAATTCAAGAAGTTTCTAATAGCCGTGGATGAAAAAAGAAAGAAGGGTCCTCCAGCTGCCTTTGCCTTATTGATTTTCTCTACATGGTGCTTTCAAACCTCCAGTTGATATGAACTCATTGCCGAGTTGCTCAAACCGGAAGTTTCAAAGAATCAGTAGTTTTGATGAGGTCAAGAAAAACATCTATAAACGGATGGGGAAACTGAAATTCGTCACAAATCGGTTCAATTCAATAAATTTTGAATAGCTGTGCATGAAAAAGAAAAGAAATGGACCTTCAGCTGCTTTCGTTTTTTGGTGTTCTCTACATGATGGCTTCAAACTTATAAACATTCATTCTCGATTCGCTAATTTGCTGAAACCGGAAGTTTCGAAGGATCAGTAATTTTGGTGTGGTCCACACAAAAGTAGTCGTGAAAATTTTTTGGAAATTTAGGAAATTTAGTCTACAGATTTGAAGACGAGTCTAATACGACGACAACATAAATCCATACGTCAGGAAGAGCTGAAGATTGAAAAACGAAAACGAAAAAGACAAAACATCAAGGAGAATTAACAAAAAACAGTAAAACGGATGAAAAAGACGTTTTCATGCATAATTTGGCTGCCTACAATTGCTGCTCAGCTGAAAAAAGCAGGAAAAACATTGAAAAACAGTGAGTGGGAATGTATTTCAACGTTTTTGTCTGTTGGGTGTATACTGGAAAACCAGGTGGGATAGATTGGAAGGGGCTGTAAAGCGATATACCCAAAAATCGATATAGAAAAAAACAGTAACGTTGCACAGCCTACCGATCCGCGATTGCGCCAACTTGCCGCTTTTAAATAGTGCAGCGGAGCGCGCTTGTGTTTTCAGTGTTAATTTTCAGAAATTTTTTTCAGATGGCGATATCTCAGCTCAAACCGAATGAAAAAACATGGGAATACCTACGAATTGTAAAGAATATAATTCATCAGATTTTTATAATTTTCGCTGTTAAAATTTTTCCGGCTTTGCGGAAACGTGCCTTTTCTGAAAAAAGTCCAGTTTTTCAAACTTTTTCAGCCAAAATTTCATAGTTTCCAAGTTTGTTTTGTATGGTTGACATAATACATATGTTTCTGAATTAGAAATAGACAGTTTAAGCAAGAATCTCAAAAATACAAGTTATGAATAGCCTGCTTCTGTTAATTTAGAGCAGCTGTCCAAAACCTGATTTCTCCCGGGGCTAAATCGAATTGGAACGGTAAGATGAATGCTCGAAACTTATCACGGCATCATTTTCATGACGTTTCGTACAGAATCTGAAAGTTTCCTGCAAGAAAATGGTCAATACAACTCAATCTAAGTCCTAGGGGGGGAAAATTATTTACAGAATCAATTTTATGAACCGATGAAATTGCCTGAAATTCATGGAGTTCGATGAAATCGAATTCAACCCTACAACAACACCTCCATGTGTTTTACTCGCTAAATATGACATTAGACTTTGAAATATTTGTCTGGATTTTGAGATTACCTGTTCAGCAATGTATTTTCTTTGTCGTTAAATGAAACTGACAAACGAACGAAAACCAAGAAAAAATTATGAAAAACTGGATTTTTTTTCAGAAAAGGCACGTTTCCGCAAAGCCGGAAAATTTTTAAAAGCGAAAATTATTAAAATCTGATGAAGAATGTTTTTCTCTACAATTCGTAGGTATTCCCATGTTTTTCCTTCGGTTTGAGCTGAGATATCTCCAACTGAAAAAAAATCTGGAAATTTAACACTGAAAACACAAGCTCGCTCCGTCGCACCATTTGAAGGCGGCAAGTTGGCGCAATCGCGGATCGGGACACTGTGCGTTGTCGTTTGTGGAAGAAATATTATCTTTCGGGAGAAAGAGAGATAAAGACAAACCAAACAAAAACATGGGGGTGTGACTGATCAAATCGGATTCTACACATTGGCTCAATCATATCAACTGCTATTAAAATATCCCAAATCTGTAAATGAAAAATACTGCAAACTTCATATCAGCCGGAAAACAAATATTGTTATACTTTGGGAAAGAAAACTTTGTATGTCCTTTCACGATTTTTTCTTGAAAACTCCTACATATTATCATATCCTTGACGTCAAGATTCACATCAATTTTTCAAGAGTCTCTTATTCCCAATTGATCTGTTATTGTTGTCCGAATAAATGAGAGTTAGAGAGTGGTATACGGTAGGGATCTCGAAGCGGCGAAACGAAAAAACACGCATACGATGGAGATGCAGTCAGATTTTTTGGAGAGTCTGTCTGCGTCTCAACTCTCATTTTTTCGAAAAGCGATAAAATGTGTCATCGGTTTCGACAATTGCTAAGACTCACTTTTGTTATTTCTTTTGCCAACGCTATTTCGCCACAAATTTCTCTGCGTCTTCAGCTCTCTAACCAATAGTAAATAAACCGAAATTGCTACTCATTCTGTTATTTTTTGAATGCGTTCTCTCGTGATTTGAAATTTGTGTAGAATTCTTATGATTTTTTAGTTGTTTCCACTAGACAGAAAACTTATTACCATCTTTGCTTCTCCCTGACGAGGAAAAGAAAACATAGATTCGCGACATTTTCAAAAATTGTGCCTTGCTACTTTGATAATACAGAATAAGTAATCTCCATATTTCCTCTAATAGAAGCCGATGGGTTTCTATTTTTCAAGGATTTATTTTCAAAACAAAGTTTATTCAAGAATTCGAAAATTCGGAAGTTAAGAATTCTGTAATTCTGTGTTTCGGAAAATTCGAAATTTGCATTCTGCAATTCTAAACTTCAAAGTTTTGAAGTTATGAAATTCTGAGATTCCAGGAACTCAAAATTCAAAATTCAGGAATCGTAAATTCCAAAAAAAAATAAAATTCGAAAAATCTGAAATTCCGAAATTTAGGAATTATTATACTTTTCTGAGAAAAAGGTTAGGGAGTATTTTTTGCAGTCTAAATACGGTAGCAATATCGAAGCGGAGAGCCTATATAGCACACAAACGGTGGCGACGCAGACACTTTTTCTCTGCGTCTCAACTTTTTTTTTCTCAGGCAAGCATAATAGAAAGTTCAGAAATAGGGAAAATGTCGAATTCTAAAATCACAGTTCCAAAAATTCTGGAATTTTAATTTCAATTGGCCCTGAAAACACTAAATTCTGAATAACTATTTCTGTCAAATTCAAAAAGTCCTATTCTGAAATTAGATTAAAAAAGAGTTCCTTTTTAATAATGCAGCGTTAAAACTAGTTTTTTTGAAATTCCTTCAGGTTAAGTATTAGTATCTGTCACCACTTTTTTTTCCATATGTCAATCTTTTATGCCCAATTTTCAGAAATATGTGGGAGTTTATCCTTCTCATTTTTCTTCTCGGTCTATTCAAGCTCAGTGCTGGGACGCCATCTTCTCTTTTGGATAACAGAACGAACAATAAAGAATTCGAAATTTCAAATGCAACTGTAAGTTTTTCTCAGTGTCTTTCTTCAAAAAAAAATTATCGAAATGGTAAAAGGTCTGAAATGATTAGAACTTTAATTCAGCTTGTTTTTGTTTTTTTCCAAAATTTGTTCATCTAATTTTTTAGCTATTTTTATTACGAAGCAGTGAGAAACTTCAATGCAACTATTCAAAATTTATGTACTCTCTCACTTTTGTAACCAGAAACTGAAACAAATCCTGAAAATGCTTCTGAAAGTACAACAATAATTAGGAACAATATAAAACATCATACCAGCATTTCAAAAATTCAAATAAAACACCAAAAATAAATCATCAAAAAAAGTTCGCGTACCAAAACTAATCTTTTTTGATATTACTGGTTATACGCCGGGCCGAAATATTTTGCAACTCCTAAGAAAAACCATGAAACCCGTAAAATTCGTAAACGTAAAACCTGATTCCTGGTCTGAATGAATGAATAAACAAAGACTAAAATTCTGTCGAATAATTAATCATTTCATTTCAGAAATTTCTCTCTGATCCGTATTTCTGGCTGCCTATTTCCATTATCGTTCTGTTGGTCTTGGTCTGGGGTTTGTTTCGAAAAGAGGAGTTTGTCGATTGGGGAGAGAACGTGTACAACGGAGGAGGGTACCCGCCTAACAACTATGCCAATTCGGGTGCTTACGCATTTGGTGATTTCGATTTCAGACCTCGTATCTACACAAGCGTTTTGACTGCATTTCCTGGTAGAGGGCTCTATACGCATGATCTTGATACTGCTTAGAATCGTTTTCGCATTTCACTCATTTCTTACCTTTTTTATGTTCGAAGCATTTTATCATGAATTATATGGTATTGATTAAAAAACTAAGACGCGAGATTTTGAAAATTTCAAGTGCAAGGAATAAATATTTGGTATTTTTGCTACAACTGTTTTTTTTTTGAGAAAAACAAACGTTTTTATGCTAGGAAAAGTGAGAGTTGACAAAAGATGAGAGATACCGTAAATTCTAATAGAACCACCTAAACCGTCAACTTCGAGCTCAATTATCTCGGTTTCTTTGAGAGATAATGAAAATCTGTCAACTGATAAAATGTTGCTGATTTCATGTTAAACTTTTCAACAGTTATTCCCTTTTTATATAATTTATAGCAAAGGAGATAATTGAGCTCAAAGTGAAAATGTAGAGTCTTTTTCTATTGATAATTCTAGTTCTTTAAAAAATTCTTGTCCTTAAAAAATTCTGGTCTTTAAAGGTGTTCATGTAAATTCATAATTTTTATCTGAAAAGTTCGTAAAACCTGTGAATTTGGTTTTTTTTAAAATTTGTTTTCAGAAGATTATCATAGTAACCATTGATATTCTTGTATTTGAAAGATAATGAATTTGCAAGCATCAAAGTCCATTGTCAATGTCATGGTCCATTCTCAAAGGGACAATAAAGTTAATAGAAAATAGGATGGTTTCGAGTTACACTAAATTCAACAAATACCAATTGCTAAGAAATAAATATTGTTATTACCATGTCTATCAGAATTCCGAGGGCAATTAACGTTCCAGAATAGACATTAGTTTTAAAAATCAACAAGGAATTGCAAAATAAACTCTGGTTTCCAAAACATATTATTGTTATGGTTGGGGAAATCTCTGAAAAAAATCACGAAGTATGGCTCTGTGTAATTTGAAGTGTGTTTTGAGAATTTTATACTATTTTGCAAATATTTCCGATATTTTAAATCTTTTGATATGATTCCGTCAGAATAGCCTTTTTAAAAACTGTATCGAGGAAAACGCATTGTTAAGAAGAAAATAGACATGAAGAAAAACAAAAAATGAACATCTCTCGAAACTATGGTTAACAGATGAGGTGCATTGAGTACCACCTTATTTCTGTAACAGCCGTCTAAAGTACAGAACATGAGACTTGAGACCAGCGTTAAATCAAGCAGGAACTTTTTGTTGAAAAAAATGATATAAAAATTGTTATACTCAAATGTTCTACCGACATGTGAACAAGTATACAAATGTCACTCGCCCTCGAAAATCTGATAGATGAAAAATTTCATATTTTGTAATATATTTTCCTGATTTGCCTTTTGCATGGGTGCAATCGACTGATGATTGCAAATTGATCATCTTTCGAATACAAAATATCAACGTCTATCATGAAAATCTTTTGAAAACAAACTAAAACAACAAAGTTCACCGATGTTACGAATTTTTCAGATAACATTTATATATTTAAATGCAGAGTTTTTTACCAGAGTTTTTTTAAAGACTAGAATTTCATAGTAGACCCAAATATTTTTTTAGGACCAACATTTTTCGAGGGGTATCATTTTCCTCAAAGATCAGAAGTTTCTAAAAGATCAGCATTTTTTTAAAAATCCTTACCATAATTTTGTTATAGACCAGAACATTTTTAAAGAGAGGGTTTTTTTGAATGGCAAAATGTTTCTAAAGAATCATAACTCTTGTAAAGCCATATATCATGAAAATTTTTATTAGGAAGAAAATGTTTCAAATGACACTGTAGATGATTGAAACGAATGACTAAAGGGAGGGAACATTTTTTGGAAACATGTGAAAAAGGAATGATACAATTGAATGGTAGTATTTGATATGGGATCGGTAAAACTGAGAAAAACATGAGCAGAAAAATAAAATTTTTCAATGAGAAAACCACGCTGCACGCTCTCCCACAGAACAGTTTTGAACTGCAAAATTATTTTTGATCTATCTGAAACATTTCGGTGTGGCAGGTCTAAAACCGTAATTTCAGAATTTTTTATCTGATTTTGTGGGGATTGAAGATGATTCAAATAATTCTTAAAAAATCAATTATTGGTCATAGAATCCTATATGGTCCTTTTTCGGAAGAAAATATTCCAAATAAGGCCATTTTTCAAAAATTTTTCAGAAAAATTGGAACTCCTCTCTCAGTTTTTGACATTTCCAAGAGTTATATAGCTCAAAAAAACCGCATTTTTTATTTTTCCTAGTTAAACTTTTTATATAATCGAAAAACATGGTGAAATTACGATTTCGTGAGATTTTTTGATTATAAAAAAGTTCAATTAGGAAAATTGAAAATGTTTTTTATACGAATTGAAGAGCAAAATCTTGCGGTTTTTTTGAGCTATAGAACTCCTAGTAATGTTGGAAACCGAGAGAGGGGAGTTCCAATTTTTCTGAAAAAATCTTGAAAAATGACCTTATTTGGAATATTTTCTTCCGGAAAAGCACCATGTAGGATTCTATGACCACTAATTGATTTTTCAAAAAATTTTCGAATCATTTTGAATCTCCACAAAATGAGATAAAAAATCATGAAATTTTGCTTCAGACCTGCCACACCGAAATTTTTCAGGTAGATCAAAAATAATTTTGCAGTTCAAAGCTGTTTTTAAAGTTTCAGCTCCCGTTTTTTTTTTTTGAAAATTCACTGCTTTTTGTTGCAATGTTGGTCGAGTTGCTTCTGGAGATTGCGAGCTGGACCTTCCATAATCTCAATGCCGCCCACGAACTTCCCGGTTGATCTACTTCTGCGTCGTTTGACTGGCGACGGAGTCAGCTGAAAGTTTATAAAAATTAGTAAAAGATTTAAGCTTGTAGATCAGCATAACAGAAACCTAAATGAATATAGAAAAAAATAATCCATGAATCGAAAGTCACAAAACGCGTGTTACTGTTTTCAAAATCAAAAATGACCATCATACTCACCGTATAGAATCCAGCCCCGTTTTCTAGCTCCTCTTCAAGATCGCCAATTTTTTTGAGCAGATGACGAGCCAACTCATGAGTGATGTAGTATTGCTGCTCAACGAGCATTCGAACATTGTATTTCTCTAGAAGATCCAGAGTGACTTTTGATTCGAGTATCCATTTCATAGCGAAATGTCTCTAAAAAATATCAGAAAATCCACTATTAAGTTAGAGGCGAAACTTACAATGTCTTCTTCAGGGGATGAAAGAAGTCCGGAGTAGATGGAGATCAGTCTTTCCGTGACGAACATTTTCTGAAATGAAAGAATTTGAAAAAAAAAGTAAGAAGAAAAATTCCACCTAATAGGCACTCGAGAGAAATGGTGAATAGCTAGAATTAAACGATGATTTTCAGAATATCATTAAGAGCAACGAGAAATGAGTAAAAAATCGAGAGATTTTGGGAAAGCTAACTTGAAAAATGAATGAATTCAGTAGGACGGGAAAACACGTAAAGAAGAAGTTGGAAGAGGGTATGGAAAACGGTCAACACCAAGGTCGACGTTTTCTTTAGAGCAATTAAGTCAACATGTGAGACAGATTCGGATGACGTGACAGATCTTTTTCGAGAGATAGGGTTTTTTCTAATTGATATTACCAAAAAAAACACGCTGAAAGAAATAGAATCCAGAGTTCATAATGCAAAAATTCATTTTTGAAAAAAAATGTCAAAAATTCAAAAGTTCCGTCACACAGCCAATAACTAAGAATTTTAATGTACCGTATTCTCTCTAACAAAAGCATTTTATTTTTAATCATTTTTTGATTCTTCAACGAAAAAAAAATATGTAAAAACGACTAAAATTAATGAAAACTCCAGGAAAATAAAGTATTTGCAATAACAGAAAAGATAAAGTGCACAGCCAAAATTGGCTTCTATTAGAAGAAATAGAATGATAATGCGCCTTCCTATAATAAAAGTTTTGACAGTAGGTTGAATTCATTCAGCATGTGTAATAGAAATCTAATCTCGATACGGTACTTTGAATCTCCCTGATGAAATAAGAATAAATAAATAAACCGATAGTCAAGAGAAAAAAAACCAATAAATTGAAAAAATGCAACGAACAGAGCGTGGAACATAAAACGCGTCCACCGGTCAGTTGGGATGGGGAATCGTTGTAAGACCTAACGTTCCTTCTGGGAAACAAGAAAAGTCAATACAACACACGTTTGAATTGTGGTGTGGCCGCACATGATATGAGGGTTCAGATTAATTTTTTTGGGCTAAAGAGAATGCTCCGAATTAATATTGTTAATGAAAATAACTAACGTTGGGTGTCTGTTCGAATATTTAGTATTTGTCCGTATGGTCCAAAAACTTCGTAAATACTTCTTTTTGGTAAAATTTTTCGATTCCAAAACGTTGAGCACATTACTAAAAATTTCTTGCCCTATCCATTCATGTCATTTGTACGAAAAATAGTTTCTGCATTGGAAAGAAGTCAAGATGGGTTTAAATCCACGCCAAACATAACTTTCACAATAGTTTTCTCCTCCCATCAAAACAAAAATTCGTCCATTCACATTCAAAAAAAAAGTCACAAGATCTGCTCTTCTCCACATTTTGTTGCTTAGAAACCTTTCAACTGGCTCAAGGGAAAACATCATTTTTTTGCCAGAAATTTCTTCTCAACTTTCTTTTTGTTTCGACACTACTGAAGATTTGAATTTTCTAGTTTCTGCTCATGGTAGGTTGAAAAAATTAGTCTAATGGTAATGAACAAGATTTTCCAAAAAGATTTCAGAATGTCAAAATGTTTCCTGAAGAATATCTCAGAAATTCTGAGCAGAGCATTGGATATGTTGGGCGCCGAGTTTATGCATGTGCTCTTCTCCCCTGGTTTGTGGCAATCTGTCTTTACACATTCATCGTTTCGCTACTCAAAAGCAGACTGACATAAACATCCAAAATTGATCGAGAATCTAAAATGAATCTCATCGATAATCAAGACCCAGAAATTGAGAAAAAGGGGCCAATAGAAAATTTTGAGTCTACTCCAGAACCAGTCGCTGTTAACATTATAAATAATATTCAATTTTGATGTATTCTTGTTTAGTTTTGTTTTTGTTAAATAAATTTCTGCAAATAACAACTTTAACTTAGAAAAAATGATCACAAAAAATAATATTGTAGCTACATATTTCCTGAAAGTTTGAATTTGTGCAACAGCGTTTCAGTGAAAAATGGGCACTTCTGAAGTACTACAATACTAGTCCAAAATTGTTCAATTAGTCTGAAAACCTCAGAGTATACTAAACAAAACTAGATCTTTTTGGGGTTGACAACTTTCCCCTACAAATTGAACAAAGCAAGTTGAAAATGTTTCAAACGAACACGGTCATGTCCGACAAACTTTTAGTTACAAGCGACATATCTCATCAGTCTGGAATTTAGCGAAAAGTTGTCAACTACAAAAAAAATGATCTAGTTTTGTTCAGTATACTCGAGGTTTTTAGAGAAACTGAACAATTCTGAACTAAACATTTTTTATTTGAAAGATAGCATAGAAAGAAAATTGGATTTCTATTTCGCAGAATTGACAACGATCTCCAGCTTGCGACCGAGCAACTCTATATAGTAGAGTTTTCTTCTAAAGAATTTCCAGACAAATATTTGGGCTTGTCCGTTTACAAGATACTGCAACGTAACAATTCCAGAAGTACGGTAGTCAGAAAGCAGTGGCTGTTCAAGTTAGAAGGATTGATGTAATCTAAAATCATGGGAAACCTACGATGTAGATGATATCATTTTATTCAATATTTTTTGATTCACCTCAAAATGGCAAATTCAATTTATTTTTTAAATGTTATTTGAAAATGTTTTCACTACATTTCAACTACATTCAAAATGTTTTCCAAAAAACCTATAATTTTGGTAATGTTGTAAACAAGATTTTTATTTTTCTTGTTTCTCATTCTTCTGATCAACATGGAATTTGAATAAAAATATGAAATTTCAATCTTGATTGACTTTCGATGCTATTCCGGAAATTCTATTTCAAATTGTACTCAGTTGTACACCACCATCACCAACTGACGTAAAATGGTCAGAAAATTCACAGGATTAGAATATTTTGGTCAGAAAGTACTACGAATGGAATTGAAAAAAAAATGTTAGGAAAAGAAAAATGAGTCACAAACTAGAAGAACCTTCGTTTCAAAATTTTGAAAAAAAAAAACATAAAACTAATATTGTTGAAAACGACAGGGTTCGAATATTTGCCTTGGAATTCTTCAGAAGACTAGAACACAAAATGTCAGTGACAACCAAGTAACATTTTTTGCATTAACTGTTCTTCGAAACACTGAAAATTTGAAAAACGTTCAGAAACAGAGAAGAAATTACCCTTTAAAAACTCTCAGTTTCATCTCCATGACAATATTTGGGATTTTTTTCTCTTTTAACGAATTCAATATGAAATCATTACTTCTCCAATCACTATAATGTTATGGATGTTAGATCTATTTGTTTACTCATTTCCAAAAATTTCCACGCCAAATGTTATCATTATTATCATCAGGTTCGTAAAAAATGAAATCGTGACAAATCGAAAAATCCATTCAAGCGAGAATGTTGAAAGTTTCATGAAACGTAGTTTGTAGTGAATCGTCACCCTGACGAAAACCGAAAAAGGCACGGAGGGTGTTTGAAAGTCTTCCTGGAAAACTTCAAATTCATTAGAACGTTTCTATTTCAGTCATCACATGCATTGCTTTTGGCGATGGGTGCTTTTTTTCATTTGTCCAAACAGAAACGTTTTCTTCATCCCTCTCTGATTTTCATATTCATAATCACCGTTTAGCAAGAGAGGAGTTAAAGAATTGGGCGGAGCATCAAGGCCGCATACTTTTCTGAAATATGGGCGGAGAATCAAAGACGCATACTTTTCTGAAATATGGGCGGAAACTTGACGCCCCCTCTTTAAAAGGGTCTTTCAGCAGGGCTTTTCATCAGTCGTTACCTCAACTTCTATCCTCCTCCCAACACCTTAACCTCTCGGAGAAAATGATCCGTCTCATTTTCCTTTTCGTCCTTTCGACTGCTCCCTCCTTTGGAATTTCCTGCTACGGCTACAACGACTACCAAGAGGTCGTCGAGACCCTCCACCACCGTAAGTTCTGTACTGCGGTGTACGAGGTCTCCGATGGCACCGGAGCCTTCGGAGGTGGTGAGAGACATCCGTCTCGCATCCCGAACGTCGTCAATATGACCAAAGGAAACGATTGTGTCATGCAGGTATGTCTAACAGTATGCGCTTTTGAATTTATTCTTCCATTTCCAGCACGTCCAAAGCAACCTCGGCATTCCATCGTCCGACATGTGGCTGTGCTACTGTTACACAGAGATGTGCAACTATCCGTTCACTTGGAAAGAATTCGTCAGCCGAGGATACACCCTCAAACCGACCTATGCCGCTGGATTCGAGAAGAAGTGAACTCTTGATGTTTGATCTCTTTAATTGATTTGTCCGATTCTTGCAATTTTCTGTGTTTTTTGTCAAAAGTTTTGAAGGGAAGTCAATAAAAATTGTTGTATAACCCGTGTCTTGGAATATTTGGAGATTTCAGAGTACTCTGCGGTTCTTCTTTTGTAGTCTTCTTCGTTTTCATTATGGGTTTTCAATTTCTCATCCAAAGATCACGTTGACAAGAAGAATCGGGAACAAGAAATGTTTTTCTAACATTTCCAAAATTATAGGTTGAAGGATTGAAAAAAGATTTGAAAATTTAGTTAAAATGTAGTGAAAACATTTTCAAACAACGTTTGGGAATAACAATTTGAATGTGACATTTTGAAGAGAATCATAACAACTTTAAACAATATGACTTTTCGAAGAAAAATAGGAATTGTTTTCAAAAAAAATGTTTTGAAATCTAACTTTTCTGGAACCAGATTGTCCTTTCTTTACTTTTGAAAGATTGAAAAAAATTATACTGAACCAAGTTTCTGGCCATTTCGGAAAATTATTTCTTCAGATCAAAAAGCTGATAATTTTTCCACATGTTTTACGAAATACTCGACAACAGTCTCTTATTCAGTATTCAAATACCTAAGCTCCCCCCTCTAAAACACTGGCTGTTCCGAGTCAAAGTGTGTAGTCACCCATTTTTCGATTTTAGTGCTCAAGTTATATTCTTGGAGGGATAGATGAATATTGCTGAATAAGTAAGCATGAGAGGGAGAGAGAAAAATGGGAACTATACGCTGGATTATTAAATTTCTGTTTGAATACGACGAGTAGATAGATTCTCAATAAAATGGCAAAAATTTTTAAGTTCTCTTTCATAGAAAAAAAAGAAACATTAAAAAAAAAACATTTTTCAGTTGTGAGGCGGGCCGGGAAAATCCTCCTACCGGCACGGCCTTTTGCAAGTATTTCATAGATTTTTTCCCGGATTACCAGACTTTATAGTTTTGTTTGAGATTTTCAGATTAAAAAATATTTTCATCTCTCTCAGTTTTTTTCGGAATTTAAGTAGTTTTAGATTATCTTTTTTTTCTAATTGAAGCATGAGTTTCTATTTTTTAACGTTCTTCTCATAAAATCACCAAAAGCTTTTAAGCTTAATTTTAAAAATCACCAGAACATTTTTTAAAAAGAAAAAATGTCTGCAAAAAACTGAATAGACGAACTGCACAAATTTTTGTTGGATGTCCCCTTTTTCAGCACGTAGCAGGATGTGAAAATTAGAGAAAATACGGTATTCGAATTTTGAAACTTATTTTGAGTTTGATGATTTAAATATTTTTTAGATTTTTTATGTTTTTCAAATGCCATCGTCTTTTTGTCAGATTTTCCGAATTTTTTAATTTTTCATTTTTATCTGCTAGCTGCCGATAGGTAAACATCGTTTTCCTTTTGATCACTCCCTCCTCTTTTTTTGAAAATCAACACTGACATTTCGTTCCAGCAATAAATTCTCTGTTTTCTTATTTTCTTTTCGTATTTTGTTTCGATTCTCACCGTCCCGCTCAGCCCACCTTTTTTCGGCCACGAGTACACATTTCTCTGAACTTTTTTACTATTTTCATGGAGACACCAAGAACCATCATATCATGATTCTTTTTTCACCCTTGACTTGTATCTGCTAGCAGGTCTCAAATGAGAATTTTCTGAAAGATCTGTGAAAGTTCTCCGGAAACTTTTTCTAGAATCCTAGTAGTGAATGGACTCTGAAAAGTTTCCTTATTTTTCTGAATGTCCACTTCAAAAAGTATTAGTATCTTACCTGGAAATTTTCATATACTTGGCTTCGAAAAATGAAATTTCGTTATTTCTGGTGACCTCAACAATTTGGTGAGTGTTTTTTTAACTTATTAATAAATGTACCATTATTTTCCATTTTCAGATTTTGACCCCATTCCGACCATCTGGGAGAGTGAACAGCGGTCACTCACGAGCCTGTGAAAACAGTTCTCAACGAAGCGATCTTGAAGAGAAGCCGAGATACCAATGCTCCGAAACTCGAGAAGCGACTCTTGGGATCGATTCTCAAGATTGGAAGTCCGATGAACAATTCGGTGCATTTCGACATGTGACACGTGCTACCAAATCTCATGAAAACAATCGGAGAGGCGGGACAGCCGGTATAAATTCATTTATATAATTTTCGAATAAATTATTGTAAGATGCATGATTTCAAAACATTAACAAGAAAAAACTCTTTTTCAGACTTTTAAAAAGTTTTCAGGTTGTCATATTAGGCTGATTAAGTGGAATTTATAGATTTTGAGAGATTATCAGACTTCAAAGAGCTTTAAGATATTACAAATTTCAAATGAATTTATTCAATCGCTCACTGAGAAACAAAAGGAAAAGTCAATAAACGGGAGAAAGAATGAATCTAGACGACACCGGCGAAAATTTGCTAAGAACTCCCGGAAAAACTTTTCTCGAACTATCCATGGGTTAGTTTTCTGATGTGTTATGTGTATTTAGATTGGAATTTAGGATCGAAGGCTCGGAATCAGAAGCTTCTACAGAGGATCTGCAGGACACTGAAGGCCAAGGAAGAACCGATGAGACTCTGTTCATTGAAAAGGAAAACACTACAACGAACACTGATAATCTGTTAGAATCTTTCGTGGATACAGAAGGACCAGAAAATTCTGTAATCAGCAATTCGTGTGACGATAATATTGATATTATCACCGATTCGATCATAAGAATTAACAGTTCTATAAGTGACAGTTCATCTTCCGGCTCTCCTCATTTTGTTCGCTCGCCTTCACTCAAGGAGAAGTTTTTCCATGGATATATGTACGCCGACTCGGATGTTAGTGGCAAAGAAGACAAAATGCACAGACTGAATAGAACGAATGACCGTGTAGAAAAGAAAAATGAGTCCCTACTACGGATTTTAGGTAAGAATATAATGTTGCATGCTAAACTAGAAATCTTATTTGTTACAGATCTTCCAGCAGGAAATCTGCGAAAAGAGCGTTGGAACAAACTGAACTCGCCAAATGTGCACGAAAATTGCCGAAACGCGATGTAAAAGCGCCAGAAAGATTGGGATACAGAAACTAGGACCAGATAATTCGTAATAGACAGTAGTAGTTTTCATTAATTTTTAATAAAACTGGTTTTTTGTTGACATGAGTTTGCTCTCAAAATCATCTCTTAATGTCGCCGGTCGGCCCTCTTGCTGTTTTTGAAGGTATCATCATGTTGCGATATTCCAAGGATTTGTTTTCTTCGGCAGGCTCAAAATGTAATAGTACATCTATTGCATTCTGTGGATACAAGCTCCAATAAACAAATCTTCCTTATTAATAAAACGCTAGAGGCGTTTGTCCGTCCTCGTGTCCGTCTGTGCACTTTTGAAAAAATTGATAAATACATATATATTTACGTGACCCTTTTATTTAGAAAAAGTGAGAAACGAAGATTTGAAAAAATAGATGGAATCGCGCCGAAGGCTCACCAGCTTGCTGGTCAATCAATAAAACTATGAAAAACTGTACTTTTTCAAACAAATCGAAAAAAAAACAAGCAAAATAGTGCAGTTTATACCAAAATATCTTCCAATTGAAAACTACAAAATTTTTAATTGATGTACACTAAGAACTTGTCGATGTACCCTGGGATCCTTTCTCCGATGTACCCTCAGAACCAACGCCAGATGTGCCCTTTGAACCTACCTCCCAGATGTACCCTAAGAACTGATGTACCCTCTGATCCAATGTACCCTAAGAACTCGATGTACCCTTTTCCGATGTACCCTTGGATACTGAGCCTTCATCTGAACATTTTCTGTATTCTTGATGTAATGGAGAGTTATAAAACTTCGAAAAGATTTGAGAAGGATTTTAAATCCATTCACAAGCTCCTTCTAATCCAGGCAAATGCTTTTTCCTTCTCATTTTATCACATGGATATCCGAAATCCCTTTTTGTTGACGACCAGTTACATAGGTGACGTGATGCACCAGCTCACATAATAACCCGCATCATTTTGATATTTGCCTCCACCTCCGCACAGCTGAAAATTATTTGGAAGGCGGAGCCAATACCTCATGTTTTCAGTGATATCTCAAAGTCTTCCGTTTCGGCGTCTATCAATACTTCCTCATATTTTCTTGTATGATTCCCCTCTCCTTTTATATTTTTCAGTTCTTATTTGTCTGCCTTCCAGGTGAATGACTGCATAATGATAGCTCGCCGTCTCGTTTCTCAACGTCTCCATCTCTCTCACATTTTACTTGCTCCGACTCGCGGAGCTCATTCGTATTCAATCGGTGATATTGGCACCTCGTGTAGGAGCCTCGAGTATTTATATTTTACTGAATTTCCATCTTCACATTATTCATTTTTGAAATGTATCCTATAACAAAATAGTTGATCGCCTTATGGCTGGAGATCTTTATTTTGTGCATTCTACCATCTGATTTTTCTGAAGTTCAATCGATTTTTGAATGTGTTATTTATAATTGTAAGTGATTAAACAACGAATAAACCCTCACGATATTATGTTTTTCAGATCTCAAAAATGGGATCCCTTGAATTATTATGGAGACGTGTTGCTCAAAGAAGTAGTTATTTTTAGAGATCTCAGCATATGATGCCCACAACAAGGATTTTATTTTTTAGTTTTGTTCAAAGTCATCATGACATGCTGCCCAGTCTGGAAATTTATTTATACATATTTCATCTTCAGTTGTTTGAGTATTTGTATCGTTTCTTAGTTTTATCCAAGATCATTTACCACTGCTGCCCAAAGAAATATTCCATTTTTATTGTTTCTCATTTAGTTTTAGAGATTTTAAACATTATTTCCGCATGTGCTGCCCGTACAAATGCTATTATTTTAAAGTAGTTTTTATTATATTTTTTTCTGATTAAAACAGGTTCCCATTTTTTAAAAATATTATCAACCAGTGTTGCCCAAACCAATGCTGCCAACCAAGTGCATCGCCTTAATATTTTTATTTTTAAGCATTTCAAAATTTTGATTGTTGTTGTTTTTATGAATGAAATAAAATATTATTAAAATTTCTTCCCATTTTTTAGTTAACAAATTTTCAAAAATGAAATGGTTTGTTATTTGCCGGAGGTTTGCATTCACTTCGAGTTCAAAGTTTTTGTTTTTCAAAAAGCCGCAAAAACTTAAACTTGGGTTCTAGAACGATTGAATTTAATAAATTATGTCTATCTGTTGCCTATCATTTTTAATTTTGTCCCTTTTGCTAGTTTTACCAAAAGTTTGAAAAACAAAAGAAAAGCTGAAGTAGAAAAAACAGTCGTTAGAAAAAGTTCAAAAAGTCAAAGACGATAAAAGGGCATTATGCCAAACAAGTGACAAAGAGCAGAAAAGGCTTATGTTAGAGGACAAAAGTGGTTACCTTATGTGAAATGAAAAAACCCCCAGAAAAATTGTGGTGCTCCTATCTTTTTGTTCTTATACCTGACGGCAGCCAGTGTTTCATCCTCTTCCAGTTGCGCTGGCAGAACATCTTCTCTCTCCACATTTTTTGCAGATAAGATAGTACAAATAACACAGGCAACACTGGAATTTCGCTTACAAGTTTAAAAAACGAGATCAAAGATTTACATGTCGAACTATCCAAATGGCTTCATTATCTGACATCAAGACTTTTGTGTTTTTGATTTTTCCAATTTGTAGATACACTGATCAGCTTTGACTTTCTACAACTTTTCAAGTTCGCACGATCTGACATTATTAAATCTTAATATTATGCTTTCTAAACCAATGATTCTGGTGGATTCCGAATTTGGAGAACTAATGAATATCCTGATGGATGATAAACAAAAAAGCGTGTTCTATGGCTTTTCAGAGCTATACCTCTGCTCAGCCAGTCGTCCCCCGACGTACTATCCATTCCAACATTTCGCCAAAGAAAAGGCTTATGTTAGAGGAAAAAAGTGGTTACCTTATGTGAAATGAAAAAACCCCAGAAAAATTGTGGTGCTCCTAGCTTTTAGTCGGGCATTGGCTCGTCAAGTCATACGATTTCGGTCGGTCGCCATGTTGTCAACTCCGCGCGCGGTGGTTTTCTTCCCGTTTTCAGAATGTCTCAGCATTTCCATTCTGCAATTCTAAATTTCAAAGTTTCAAAGATTATGAAATTCTGAGATTGCAGCATCTCGAAATTCCAAAATCAGGAAAACTGAAGTTCCGGAAAAAAGGTAAAGTTCTAAAAATCTAAAGCTCTGTTTTTAACTTTCCATATAAAAACTTTCGTTTTTTGTTCCACAGTAACAAAAACAGATTGACCTTAAAAATAGCATATTTTTCAGTTTTCTTGAAGTTTTGGTTGAATTGGGAGAAAAAAAAAGAAATTTTTGAAGACATTTGGATTTACGCAACAATTGAACTAGTATCAAGGAAAAAGTTAGTAAATTAAGAAAAAAGTTAGTCCGGAAATTTCTGAATTTCTGAATTTCTGAATTTCTGAATTTCTGAATTTCTGAATTTCTGAATTTCTGAATTTCTGAATTTCTGAATTTCTGAATTTCTGAATTTCTGAATTTCTGAATTTCTGAATTTCTGAATTTCTGAATTTCTGAATTTCTGAATTTCTGAATTTCTGAATTTCTGAATTTCTGAATTTCTGAATTTCTGAATTTCTGAATTTCTGAATTTCTGAATTTCTGAATTTCTGAATTTCTGAATTTCTGAATTTCTGAATTTCTGAATTTCTGAATTTCTGAATTTCTGAATTTCTGAATTTCTGAATTTCTGAATTTCTGAATTTCTGAATTTCTGAATTTCTGAATTTCTGAATTTCTGACTTTCTGAATATCTGACTTTCTGAATATCTGAATATCTGAATTTCTGAATTTCTGAATTTCTGAATTTCTGAAATTTCTGAATTTCTGAAATTTCTGAATTTCTGAATTTCTGAATTTCTGACTTTCTGACTTTCTGAATATCTGACTTTCTGAATATCTGACTTTCTGAATATCTGACTTTCTGACTTTCTGAATATCTGACTTTCTGAATATCTGACTTTCTGAATATCTGACTTTCTGAATATCTGACTTTCTGAATATCTGACTTTCTGAATATCTGACTTTCTGAATTTCTGAAAAAATTTACTGCTAACCAATAAAATCCTTTCTTAGCTCTAGTTGACACGATTCGAACTGACACTAATAGAACTCGGTATTTATATTATTCTTTAGTTTTTCTGTGAATCTACAATTGGTAAATTATGCTCAAGAACCAAATACGCAATCAATTGTCAACTTCACCAAATCAGGTCGGAATAGATTTCAAGCAGACGTACAGTCGAGAGAAAATCTAAGCCAATCATTCTGGTGAATTTCGACTCAGCACAATTAATTAGGATTGTAATTGATAATCAAGGCAACGTGTTCTAAGTCAGTCGTTGGTGGTTTGTGAGACATATCTTCAAGACTTGCTGAAAAAATTATAGTCGAGGAAAATTTTGATATCGAAAAAATTTCTTTCTAATTCTAATGGATGATAAACAAAATAGCGTGTTTTATTGCTTCCCAAAGCTGTACCTGCGCTAAGATAGTCGTCGGGGGAAGTAAACATTCCAACATTCAGCCAAACCGAAATCGACCAGCAGTTCAGCTAGTCTTACGATTATATTCGGTTGCCATGTATTCTAGTCCGTGGTCATGTTTTCTCCGTTTTCAGAATGAACAAACATTGACTGAAGCCGACGATCCAACGTTAAACTTCATTTTATGTATTCTGATTCAGATTATCTGTGCCGCCACCATCAACGCCGCATTCTTCGTTTCATGTTTCCACTCCCATTCTCCAAGATTGAGAAATGCTGAAAATCCAAACGTTTTAGTCAATGCTTTGATGAACAATTTTTATTTGTCGGAGACTGGAGGATAATATTTTTGAAACCTCTTTTGCACGATGCGCCTAAAAGAGGTGCATGATAACCACTTGTGGGCGGATCGAGAATGCAGGAGACCAGTTTCTAGGTTTTGGAGAAAAAAGCTTCAATTTGGTTTGTTCCGCTTGTTTGAGTAAATTCTTTATTCTGCTAGGTTAAAAGCTTTTCTGAGCTTCATTTGTTCTTCGAATTTGCCGAAATGTGAATGAGAGCGAAATTCGTTTGACGTCGATTGTTTCACACTGGTGACCATCAACCTAAGCAGTTGAGATTCATTTTACACAGTTTCATAATCACTTTCTGGAGAAACATCTCTTTTTCATTGTAAATTTTTTCTAATGAGAAGAATTCGAAATAAATGTAAAGTTGGGACCTCTGTCGAAACGCCGGGACCATGTTCTGAAGAGTAGGGCCGTGATCGACAAATCAGCGAATCGTCAGGAACAGCCGTATAATCTTGAGACCGTTTTTCCCAGAAAGAACCAATTTTTTTCCAAAAATGTCTCACAATTTCGAAAAAAATTTACCGTACTATGTGCATAGCTGCTGGACCTTATTCGCATGTGCGTATTGGAATAATTGCCGTTGTTTTGTGATTAATGAACCATCAATATTGGGAGAATTTCTTTCTGAAAATAAAACAATTGTTTTAATAGTTGTTTCAATAACTCACTTTTTTTGAAATATTAATCCTTTTCTTTTCTTGAAAAAGTACCAGATTGAACTTGTTTCTGGAGGAGTACTCAAATAGGAAAAAAACGTATAAGCGTTTAAAAATATCGATTCTTGGACCATTTTGGTCAGTACGTCCTCTGCGTCTCCTCTTTCGCAATACTCTTTCATGTTTTCTGTGTGCGCGCGCACGCAATGGCATGCTGCCAAGGCCCGCATGTGTGCTACGAGTCTCGACGCGACAAGAGTACGGTGCACATTTCATGTTGTTTTTTCTAATAGGAAAGCAATTTTTTAGTTCCTATGTGTTTCAAAAGTTATTTTTTTCCTTCAAAACTACTGGGGAAAATTATATTTTCTTATCAAATCAAACGGAAAAGTAAAATATCATATTTAAAAGAAGAAAAGTGAGTTATTTCAAAAAAAAAAACAAAATATTTGTTTTGTGTGCAGAGAACGAACAAATTCTTTGAGTTCTGATAGCAAGATTGGTCGCATAACGTCGTGAACTACTTCGGTGCATACTTCAAATCAAAAGAGAGCGACTATAATGTTAAATTTCGTTCAAAATTTCAAAAGCAGTACCGACCAACTCAATTTGTCTAATGGACACCCAATTTTTGTCCGTAATTTCCTGGGTTAGTTGCTATCTGTATGATTCTTAAATAGTTACTTCATTTGGGTTGTCGGCTTGTGATTACAGCCCTGATTGCGTGCCTAGAAATTTGTTAGAATTCAATTTCACACCAAAACCTGCCTCAAATCTACCGAAAAAGGGTTGGAAAATCATATCCTCAAGTCTGTGACATGAAAATACATTGCATCAAAGCGTTGACCAAAACATTTGCAGACCATCTGAATCAGAAGGCGTAAAATGAAGTGCAATGCTGAGACATTTTGAAAACGGGAAGAAACACACCGCGGAGTTGACGACATCGCGACCGACCGAAATCGTATGACTTGACGAGCCACTGACCGACTCCGGTTTGCCGAAATGTTGGAATGGATAGTACCCCCGACGACTGGCTGAGCAGAGGTATAGCTCTGAAAATCAATAGAACACGCTTTTTTTTG